TAGGGTCTGTACCATGGTTACAGACTTTGAGACCCTTGGATGTGACCTTTCACTACCTTTTTTTAATAGTTCATCATGACCATATACAGTTATGTTTTTGAAATTTAAGGAAGTTGAATCCTGCTATCAAAAGTAATGAACATTTTTTATGCCCCCGTAATCGAAGATTCGGGGGCATATAGTTTTTGCCCTGTCCGTCTGTCTATCTGTCTGTCTGTCCGCACAAACTTTAACCTTGCCCATAACTTTTGATTGGTTGGAACTATGGCTTTCATATTTCACATGTGTATTCCTTGTGACAAGACCTTTCTTTGGGTACCATAAAATTTGACCTTTTGACCTTGGAGTTTGGCCCTCTTTTGCAATTTTTTTGCAGACTTTAACCTTGGCCATAACTTTTGAATATTGGGTGCTAGGGCTTTCAAACTTCACATGCGTATATCTTGTGACAAGACCTTCCTTCAGAAACCAACCACTTTGACCCTTTGTCCTTGGAGTTTGACCTACTTTTGAAAAAACGTTAAGCTTGGCCATAACGTTTGAGCCGTTGGTGCTAGGGCTTTCATACTTCACATGTATATACCTTGTGATAAGAACTTCCTTTGGATACCACAGAACTTTGACCCTTTGACCTTGGAGTTTGACCCTGTTTTGAAAAACTTTAACCTTGGCCATAACTTTCGAACGGCTGGTGCTATGACTTTCACACTTCACATATGTAATTGCTGTGACAGGACCTTTCTTTGAAGGACCTTGACCTTGGAGTTTGACCTTCTTTTGCAAAACTTTAACATTGGCCATAACTTTTAAACGGTTGGTGCTAGGGCTTTGATACTTCACATATGTAATTGTTGTGACAAGACCTTTCTTTGGATACCAACAACTTTCACCTTGGAGTTTGACCTTCTTTTGAAAGACTTTAACTTTGGCCATAACTTTTGAACGGTTGGAGCCAAGGCTTTCATATTTCACATGTGTATTTCGTGTTAGAAGGCCTTTCATTGGGCACCATTAATTTTGACCTTTTGAACTTGACCTTGATGTTTGACATACTTTTGAAAAACTTTAACCTTTTCCATATCTATTCAATGGTTTCTGCTAGGGTTTTCATACATGTATTTCAAAGGGGTACTCCTCGAGACAAGACCTTACTTTGGGTACTAACATATTTGATTTGCATTTGAGAAAGTTTAACCTTTGATAGGAGTTGCCATACGGGGGCATCAGTGTTTCACAAATACATCTTGTTTATCTTGTTTTGTTCCAAAATTGTGAATTTCATGGTCCCAGGGTCAGGGGTTCTGGTGTTAGGGCGGGGCTCTATCGACTATATAGTGAAAATGCATTAATTCTTTGAAAATCTTCTCCTCTGCTCCTGGGCATTAAGGTGATAAACTAAGTACATAGTTATGATGAGGAGGTGGGCCTCTTCCAGAATTGTGAAAGCCATGGCCCCTGGGTCAGGGGTTCTGGTGTTAGGGCGGGGCTCTATTGATTATATAGTGAAAATGCTTTAATTCTTTGAAAATCTTCTTCTCTGCTCCTGGGTATTATTTAAACAAACTAAGTGCATGGTTATGATGCATAAGAATGCCTTTTCCAGAATTGTGAATTTCATGGCCCCAGGGTCAGGGGTTCTGGTGTTAGGGCGGGGCTCTATTGATTATATAGTGAAAATGCATTGATTCTTTGAAAATCTTCTTCTCTGCTACTGGAGATTATTTTAACAAACTACATGTAAGTGCATGATTATGATAGACAAGGATGCCTCTTCCAAAATTTTTAAATATATCGCCTCAGTTTTGGGGGTTTTTGAGGGGGGGGGGCTCTATTGATTATATAGTGAAAAAGCATTAATTCTATTAATTAATCATTAATTAATCCTGTCGGCTCCTTAGTGTTGAGCTGATAAATAAATTGCTTAGCTATGATAAAAATGGGAGCTTCGAACAGAATTTTTAAATCTTGTGGTCCTTGGGTCAGGGGTTCTGGCATAACGAGGGGGGGGGGGGGGCTTTTGATAATATAGTGGGAAAGTGTGAATTCTTTGAAGTCCCATAGTAATGATGATGAGGGTAACTCTTCCAAATTTGTAAATTTCTTGACCCTTGGTCTTGGGTTCTGGTGTTAGGGTAAGGCTTTGTTGAATCTGTAGTGAAAATGCATTGTACCTGTGAAATTCTTCTCTGCTTCTTGGCATATCGGAAGCAAACTGAGTAAAAGTTTAAATGATATGAGTAAGCGTATTTCTACCAGATTTTTAAACATCTGGACCATTCGTCTAAGCATTCTGGTCCTGGGCAGGGCTTTATTAAATTGTATTCTACTGAGAGAAGTTATTCCCCTTTTCCATTCACCTTTGATAATTAATCACTGTAAATAATGTATTTGAAAGGTTAATAGAATAAGATAATTATCCAAGAATGTTTATCGTATAATTAAAAAAGTACTTTCTTAGTTTTAATAATCAGGTAGACCTGTAAGTAATAGATAAATAAGAATGAGACAAAAATAACTTATCTTATAAAAGTTCTTCAAAGACCATAAGAGAGGTCAATGCTAGAGGTCTTAATATGGGTTTATAAATAGTACAGAAGCACTAATAGTTTGTTAATAGGCTGCATGGTGATTAGTGTTAAGTGGGGGACAGATTAGAACTCAGTTTCTGAGTTGATAGTGAATACTAGACTAATTATTTTGTTGATCCTGATCTTCCTACTTCTCTTGTTTTTGTTCCTCTGCTCTGCCTCTGGGTATTCAAAGTAATCAAAGTAAGCATGGTAACTGTATAGTTATGATGAGCAATAGTGCCTCTTTCAAAATTGTAAATTACATGGCCTCTGGTTTAAAATACAAACCAAATTCAATTGTTGGAAAGTTGTTACACAATACTCAGGTGACCTATAAGGCCCGTGGGCCTCTTGTTAAGATATTGAGCCGTAAAATTGGTAATGTTGTAGAGGGAAAACAGTGTCTTATGCCGTTTGACCCCAGATTGACTCCGTAAAGGGAAATAACTTTAGTAAATGTGAAAGTCGTCTATGGAATTTAATCATGGGATTTTAACTGAATATAGTAAAGTTTAATTAAGGAATGGTGGGTTATTGATGTGTAAATCTCGTAGACATTTCACGTAGACATATTTCATGAAGCGCGCTAGCGCTTCATGAAAAATATGCCTACGTGCAAGTCTGTGTGATTTACACACCAATAATTCACACTTAAAACATTCCTTATTTTTACATTTAACATGTTTAAATGCACAAAAATATACTCAATATTTGAATTTCTCGCTGCCCTATATCGTCATATTTTTATTAACGTTTCTGTAGCGTCATCGTGGCGTCACTTTAGCGCGAGTTTCTCCGTGTATACAAGAAAGTATACACGGAGTGAGTTTACACGAAAATGGTTTTCAAATCAATTTCACAGAAGAAAAGCACAGCAAATGTAAATATTTTGCGTTGTAGAATCCAAATTTATTTTAAGAATCAAAACATTATGCAAAATTTTTGAATTACTGCTCAAAAGCTCAGGAGCGAACCTCTTTAAATGGTAAGTCTATGCTATTTAGTATGTGCATTGGTTGTCAATACTAGCATTACAGTACACATGACCTTGACCTTTGACCTACTTTGCAAAAAATACCCCTGATACATGTAGTTAATTTAACTTAATTTATGCCTTCTGAGTTTTGTGAGGCAGGATATTGATAATTAGCATTTATACATATTTATGAGTTCATGACACTGTATTTGCTGAATTATTTAAGAAATAAGGTATCATATATTAAAGCTTTTATTGGGATGTAAATACGGGTTGGTCATGGGATCAAATCCCATAAAGCCAGAAGGGCTTTCTGGCAGATTTCATCACATGCCAATCCGTATTTACAACCCGATAAAAGTTTTAAAACGATATATTCTTACTTATAATTACATTTGAGATTGATTTACGATGTATATTATAAACTACAAGACTGAATTTTTTTTTCAAACTTCAACGTTTAAATTTAATTCGTGGAACTCGTCAATCACTTATGACGTCACTGTGAAATTACGTCCATCGTTGATGACTGAAAAATGAATTTAAGGACACGTAACAAACCTTTGGATCATTGTTGTGTGACAGATGTACAAATTGTAGTAAAGACAGGCTTAAATCTCTTTTTGGAGGATTGTTGGATTAAACAAAAAGACAGAGGCAAGTGGAAAACAAAGAAAATGTAATAAAGAGAAAATTCAATGTTTTGTTTTGTTTGTTTGTGTGTTGTTTAACGTCCCTCTCGAGAATTTTTCACTCATATGGAGACGCCACCACTTGCCGATGGAGAGCTACAAATTTTGACCTATATTCGGCACTCAGTGACATTGAGCAGTGAGGGATCTTTTTCGTGCCAGTACCTACTGCGACACGGGACCTTGGTTTATACGGTCTCATCCGAAGGGTTTATACGGTCTCATCCGAAGGACCGGTCTCCACGTCCCACAGTGGGATTCGAACCCGCGACGTACGGATCAACTCCTTACTCCGCGAATCTTAGATCAGACGCTCTAACCACTGCGCCACGCGGGCGACTCAATGTTTTTGTAGTTGGATATGGAATTTATTTCAGGAATGTGTCAGGATTTTTTTATGTTTTCATTCGTGCTTCGCACTCGTGAATATATAAAAAAAAATCCTGTCCCATTCATGAAATAAATTCCATATCCAACTACAAAACATTGAATATCCTCTATATAACTGGAGAAACATGCTCACTCTTTGTGAGCAGTACACTCAAGTGGATCTGTCTCTGGTCATCCATCCCAATCTTTTTAAACCAGCGAGCTACAGATCTGCAGCTATATACATCAACATGTATTTATATAGTAATCAATAGTGTTCATCTAAAAACCACTTATAGCTCATTAGCAAATTAGCTGTGTTTCCTTTTGCAATATAAAAAGACTAAATTTCGTTACATTCTATCATTCCATGAAAAACGTAGACTTCCTTACATTCTATTATTCCATGAAACACGTGATACACGCTCATCACCAGATTTTGTCCAACGAGAAATCCCGTGACTTGAACTTCGCTATAACCGTCCACTATTGAGATACGGCATATTGAGTTTGTAAATCTGTAGCAAATATCCTCTAAGAAGGACACTGGTATGGCGTCACTTCCGGACATTTAAATAAATATCGTGCTGTCTGCAGAGAAAAGAAAAAAGGAAATCGGTATATTTTAAATATGAATGTCAGAGCAATTTAAGTTTCCTACTTTAGTGTAAGTTTATGATAGTGCGTGGAAAGGTTAAGCATTCCTAATTAATCAATCCCTTTCAAAGAAATTATATCATTACTTCAAAACATTCAAATTTACAATCATATAATTGTTTGTTGTTTAACGTCCCTCTCGAGAATTTTTCACTCACATGGAAACGCCACCACTTACCGGTGGAGAGCTGCAAATTTTGACCTATACTCGGCACTTAGGGCCATTGAGCAGTGAGGGATCTTTTTCGTGCCTGCACCTACTGCGACACGGTACCTCAGTTTTCACGGTCTAATCCGAAGGACCGGTCTCCAAGACCTTCAGTGGGATTCGAACCCGCGACGTAAGGACTAACACTCTAGAGCAAAGGCTCTAACCACTGTGCCACGCGGGCGACACAATCATATAAGAATAATATGAAAAACAGAATATTGAATATATAATGACCATCAAAATGCCTTGAGTAATCGAAGAACAATAATCTAGAATTGCATTTTATATCACACAAGCTTCAGTAAATATTTTAAAGATGCTTGCATGTAGAATGTATTATAAAATACATATAATTACCTTAACCTGTTTGATTCCGTTGTCTTAATGTCAACAAACATAACAATATTTTTTTCTATGTAGGAAAACAGACAAAAGAACTTAATCAAGCTTTACTTCAACGGTGATTTAAAGATTTTAAAGAGTTAAGACAACAAAAGACTTCACACTTTCTGCATCTGAAATTCTCGTAAATTTTTTCAGTATAATTCAAAAATAAGAATTTATGAATATGTTTAACATTTACATCAGACGTTTTTATAAAATTAAACAGAAACCGAAACAAAAACAATGTCGACATAGTATTTGATAACCGATGTTAATTTTGTTAAAATTTATGCGTAGTTGCCTTCAACAAAATATCATTTGTTTGGCGAGGGCATATCACTTTTCACAATATTTTATTAAACTTTATATAGATTTTGAATCATGAATTAGCCCACCAAAGATGGACACCTCATTTTCTTAACTTGTTGACCTTGATTTTGCAGATTGCTGCGCTCTGTCGTCATACAACCAGCAACCTATAGGTATACATGTAGGAAAAATTTCTGAGGTACACATGCGAGCATCAGACACTGGATACAAGGAGACCAACGAGCTCCAGACTAGGCTAAATTCAAACATCAAAACACAGGGGAACACATCCTTTACATTTTTAGGTGAGTTTAACAGTACACGATGAATCGACATTGACAAAGCCAGAACAGCATAAGTAATAATTATGGAAAGCAAACGTCATGCTTAGAACTTAAGGTTTTGCCAAAGGCCAAGATGTCCAAAAATTTATTTTTACAATAGCTCCAAAACTATGTGAGGTATAAAGTTAAAACTTTTACAGTTTATAAATATATCATTGATTAACAGATAGAAAGTATCATTTGAAAACAAATATTTAAAAAAAATCTTTGTTAAGAAAAAAATTTAAAAAAAAAACTGCATATTTAAAAAAAAAATGCAACTGCTTAATTCTGTACTTTTAGTGAAAACCATCATTGCAGAAATAATATATGTATATCAATGAAGGGCAAGTTGGACGTGAATGGTCTCTGAAAGGCTGTTGTTGAAAGCATGACATGTATAAAGACAAGACCCTTATAAAATCCGCCATTTGCAATGTACTTTCGGTTTCAAATCTTAACATTTGGATAAAATAAACAGGGAAAACAACTTTCCAGAGGCTATCGAAGTCCAACTTGCCCTTCATTGATAAACATATATTGTTTCTGCAATGATGGCTTTCACTAAAAGTACGGAATTAATTAGGTGTATTTTTTGAAAATATATGCATTTTTTTAAAAGAATTTTTCTCGATTAATATTTTTTTTAAGTATTTGTTATCAATGATACTTTCTATCTGTTAATCAATGATATATTGATAAACTGTAAAAGTTTTAACTTTATAAACCACATAGTTTTGGAGCTATTGTAAAAATACATTTTTGGACATGTTGACCTTTGGCAAAACCTTAATGAAAACTTATAGCTTTTTTATGAGCACTTCGGTTTTTCATGATTCATAGAGTAATACAGTTTTGATTTTGGAATTGAAGAGGTATTTATTAAGGTTTTGCCAAAGGTCAACATGTCCAAAAATGTATTTTTACAATAGCTCCAAAACTATGTGGTTTATAAAGTTAAAACTTTTACAGTTTATCAATATATCATTGATTAACAGATAGAAAGTATCATTGATAACAAATACTTAAAAAAAATATTAATCGAGAAAAATTCTTTTAAAAAAATGCATATATTTTCAAAAAATACACCTAATTAATTCCGTACTTTTAGTGAAAGCCATCATTGCAGAAACAATATATGTTTATCAATGAAGGGCAAGTTGGACTTCGATAGCCTCTGGAAAGTTGTTTTCCCTGTTTATTTTATCCAAATGTTAAGATTTGAAACCGAAAGTACATTGCAAATGGCGGATTTTATAAGGGTCTTGTCTTTATACATGTCATGCTTTCAACAACAGCCTTTCAGAGACCATTCACGTCCAACTTGCCCTTCATTGATATACATATATTATTTCTGCAATGATGGTTTTCACTAAAAGTACAGAATTAAGCAGTTGCATTTTTTTTTTAAATATGCAGTTTTTTTTTAAATTTTTTTCTTAACAAATATTTTTTTTAAATATTTGTTTTCAAATGATACTTTCTATCTGTTAATCAATGATATATTTATAAACTAAAAGTTTTAACTTTATACCTCACATAGTTTTGGAGCTATTGTAAAAATAAATTTTTGGACATATGACCTTTGGCAAAACCTTAAAAGCTGCTGAAGGCAAAATGGCCTGAAAAAAATGCGAAATGAATTAAGACACACAGGGAAGGAAAAATCAGTCATTGATAAATAACAGAAATTAGAAAAAGGAGATGAAAACAGATTGAGCACACTTTAAGAAAGCTGAGAACTTGCACTGCAGTGGAACCCACGGGGAAACGACCGAGGGGGAACATCTGGCGAAGGAGGATTGTGACAGATTTGAAGATGGGAGGATTCAACTAGTATCAACTGGAAAGACTAGTCCAATTTCTTTTTTTACCAAAATCCAATGACACTTGGCACTGATTAATATTTTGTTAAGGTATTTTTCGAGTTAGGTGTTCTAAATGACATTGAATGTTCGAAAAAAGATTTACATGTATGCATGGCGGGTAAGGTAAGAAATACACCGATGTACAAAACAATCCATGTTAAAACCAACAGTATCAAATGCATAATCCATAGATTACTAATGTTACATAAAGTTTTATAATTCAGAGAATTCAAAACTTACTATGCTCTGAATTCTAACATTTTAATGTAACATATAACTTCGATAGACTCCATAAATAACAAAGGATAACTGCTACATAACGAACGATCATCAATGCAAAACAACAACAACAACACACACACGCACACAGAATAGATTACCTAATCACAACAAAGAAATATTAAGTTAAATCAATTTACACTTTATGGCATTCGAAATATCAAGGTGTAATCATTCGATGTTTCTATAGGATTATGCTAAAGTTGTGCGACACGATCCAGCGTCAAGGAATTTACTTCAAAATAAACATCTTTTGATAAATATGTGTCTGAAAGATCGTATAGTTAGTAATTTTTACTTGACGAAGCAGAAATTCATAAGATAATCAAAGCAAAAATAAATAAAAAATTAATATAAACATACATGTTTATATAATATTTATATAACATATGTGATATCCTTAGGGTTTCTTTTGGTCTGGAAGAAAGAGGAATAAATTCTTAGTGATTTTTGGCTGATTTTTTAATAATACATGTAATAATTTCCACCATTGTTTGCTTATCAATGAAATCAATTACTTTTTCTATTTGTTTCGAGACTCAAACATAGATGTACTAAAAAGTCAGCTAAGTATATACTATCATCTAGAAAAAGTCAGGAAAACCAAATGGGACAGATGACTGACAGACAGAGGGACAGAGAGAAATCAATTCGTCTGCTCAGGTTTCACTGATAGGAGACTAATACACACATTCACTGGGATGGATCTGATTGTTTACCTAGTGCCGATGGTAGAACATAACATTATATTCAACCTGTAGCAAAGTTGATTGAAATAAAGCTGTTTCGCTGGAGGGACGACCCATTCATATGGAACATTTGTGTTCAAGTATGAGGAAATGATCTCTCTTTTTTTTTTTTACCTCTTTCGTATGTATATTTTACAAACAAATAATTTCAACCATTGTAAGATTGTTGCAAATGGTGGAAATTTTGTATAAATTATATGTTAAATGAAATATCAAAGAATATTTTGTCATAATTGAGATTTAATTTTTTTCACTGTCTTGGTTGTTGCATAACGGTGAAAGCGGAGGGGAGGTTTCCACTCTGTCTGTCTGTTCTGACTATCAGTCTTTCCCACTAAATCTTCTGGATTTTTCGAAACGTTTGCATATATTGATCCGATGTTTGGTATGTGAGTTTAAAATTGCATACTTTTATTCTCGTAGTCAAAAGAAATCCATTGGGCAGTCTGACACTCCGTAATTAGTATCAGTCTGATATCAAATGTAAATATATATCAGACTGTTTTGGTACCGATATCCTTCAAATTGGACTGTTACTTGCACAAAAGAAATAAAAATATTTCTTTTTAAAATTATCCATTATTGATGCATCTTCTGTAAATGTTACAGAAATTTTTTAATTACTTTAATTAGAAATGCATCAATGTTTACACAAAACGAAACTTGTCCATGTACCTGCATCCTCTGCTTTACCGGTATTTAATTCAAATCATCACATCTGTATTTTGCTTTTTCATTCTCTAGATTGTACATTTCATTTTCCGATGACATGACGATGGAATGATATTGTGAT